ATATTCTATTAATTTGAATTCGGTCTACGAATAGATTTAGGATGTGACTAGAATAAATTTAATTTATCTTGCAAAAGAAAATTCATTACCATAGATTTATCAATTATCAAGAACGCATGAATAAAACAATCTATATAATTGAGAGTTGAATAGATAATAATAGGTGGATTCGTAGTCCAATACACTCATTCAATGTACAAACAAAATCGAATTTTACAATTTTGTTAGATTAATTTAGAATAATACAAAATCACATCTAAGTTTGTTTACACTCTTTGAATCTGATTTAAATGTAGTACACTTTGATTAAATTTTATTCCATTGGGATGATACACGTTACTCATCACATATTACTTATCAACGATTCTGTACTCTTTCAGATTTTGTACGAACAAGTTTTTTGCATAAGAGTAATGAGATCATGAACAACAAATCAGAGGGCACAAACTGCCATGTTAAGGAGCTTTGTGTCATGATGAGAGATCTTCATTCCCGATCCACCCCTCATCCATCATCCTCTTCGGATCCGTTGGATCTGGAACTTTCGTGTCATTCTGCATTTTGTTGCACTCACTATGGTCCCAATCTCGATCTAATTGGGAGGAGATTATTGTCCACAACCTAAGCATCAATATTTGTAAGTTTTCATGCTAATTATATAGTTCTAGTCACTCCAATTTTGATTTAATTTTCTATACAAAATTTTCAATTTTTTGCCATCATTTTTCTCTCCCAAAATTGAAAGACGAGCATGGAAGTTATGGAGAGTTGATAGAGGTTGAGGGAAGTTGCGAGTTTGAAATCAATTCAAATAATTCTGTCCAGCTCTCTTTAATATCTTGCCGGTCAGATAACCCTATATGAACACCCACGACCTGTATTTTCCAACATCCATAATGACACGTTAGCATCATGATTGATTGAAAATCTATCCATTTGCTCTGCTTACGTACGTACAAGTAATGTTACAATTTTCACCATTTTCTCCACCAAGCAAAGTGACCTTATTGCTCATAAGTTAAATTATAGAACCGTGCTTGCACCAAATTGAAGTTTAGTGATCTAGTTACAATTATGGTGAACATTTAATTACATATTTGTAGGTACGGTGAAAGCTTCTTGACTTTTAGTACAATTTTGGATGAATCCACATGGAAAATTGACTGAAACGTTGGTACGTCTTTAGTTTTGGTTGTCATATCAGCATGCTCATTGACGAAATGAAAATGGAATGATTTCATTGCTTGTAAATAAAAGTATAGTGGCTCAAATGCAATAAATTAAAATTCAATGAGTAAGGTGAAAATTTGTGACCTTTGATGCAATTTATATCAAATTGTTTAGTCCTTGCATCCCAAATGCACCGACTATTCGTTATAATTCTAATCTTAACGTTGGAATGTGAATTTGTGGCAAGATAAGTACAATATTAGCGCCAAGCTCCTAATCTAAAATTGGAATTTTCCACTAAAGTTTCATATTATTGTGACATACTATGCACCGCTCGTGCAGTAGCAATAATATTTTCCTTTGGTTTCTGTCTTACACTAATTAGCTTTATTTTCCATAACCCAACTGTCAACAACAAAATATGTAATCATTAATTTGACTAATTAGCTCTAAGTTGGAACCAAAGTTGTTTTAACTTTTGCATATAAATTATATAATTGACAGAAGTATCTTTGTGCTTTTCAATATTTCCAACCGAGTTGGGATCTTTTTGACCATTTTTCACTGTGTTGGCCCTTTAAATTACACACCTCACAGTATTTGGTTTGTACTGTCCTATCTTTTCCATTGTCCCATCAATATCACATTTTTATTTTTATTTTTCTCTTTTCTCATATTTTTCTAAAGAAGTTTTTTTTTTCTCAATTTTTAAAATTCAATTTTTCTTAAAGTTATTTTTAACCACACATTATTTAATATTTAGGGCTATCATTAACTTTTGCTTTTGTTTCTTAAGAAAAAGCTTTTAAAAGAAATTATCTTAATTTTTATTTGAAAACTATTTTTTAAAAACACTTCCTATTCTGAAAGTGCTTTAAGAGGAAGTCATATTATAAGGGTGTTTGGTGGGAATTAAAATTAGATTTTTAGTAGATTGTAATAAAAGTTTTTAAAATGTGTGGTTGGAAAGTTGTGGGACCCATAAAAGATGTGGATAATATTGATTGTTTGACTTTGACCTGGATTAAAATCTGATATTAATCCGGACCAAACAGAGGCTATATCAGTTTTCTCTTCTAACTATCAGAATCACTTTTATAAAATTAGTCAAACGGGTCTAAAAACAACTTGTGGGTTCAAAAAACAGGTTTCTTTTGACTTTTCAAAAATCTTGCAAAACGGACTCTTAATTAAGCGCATAATTTTTATCAACTTTTCAAACATATATTTCATCACTATTTATCAAAATTGTAATCTTAGAAAAATTAACAAGTGCTAAATGTACTCCAAAAGCTAAACTAAGGCGTATGTCTCCCCTCATGCAATGTGAAGCCATAAAAGGCGGGATAAGTTCTCAAGACTTGCTGATTTTTTATAAATCTGATGTTAAAAATTCATTGTTTTCCAATAACTTTTGAAAAATTTATTAAAATAAAGTGACAATTTAATTTTTTTTTATTATTATTCTAAATCAACATGCCTTACAATCTTGCCATGTAATTTTTTACTGCATCGAGTTTTAAACTCTAATACTTTTAAAAAAAATAAATGAATGTATATTAGTCAAATTTAAAAAGAATAAACAAGATTTATGGTTATGAAGTAAAAGGTATCAGGAGGTAAAGAACACGATCTTTACGGGAAAACCCAACTTGTTTATTACTCAACAATAATACAAGACACGAGGGAAGACACTGAAGGATCACAACACTCTCTCGTGTCTCAGCAAGTCTGGCCTTCAGTATTTATAGACCCAAAATCGTATGCAGTTGACATCCCCAACTGCCAAAGGACTAACCAACTCAGTTGGCCCGAAACTGCTAGAAACTGCATCCCTCAACTAGTTCTAGCAACTGCCCACACTTTCCATTAGTCTGGATGCCCAACACATGTGCTAGACATGTGCTCCAATTGGACACCTGAATTTGTGGACTTCACTAACAGCAACCTGGATCAGCCCATGCCTTGCTAAGTTGCAACAATCTGACACCACCAAACTAAAGCACCTTTACCACGTTTTCCTTGCTCCGAATCCGAAGTGTGCACCATTCCCGCAATATCCTGGCATGAGTGCAAGGTGTTCTCATGTCGTTGCGCATGTCAACCTTGAAGGAGCTGACAAACCTTCCCCATCGAAGAGTCCGACGTCCTCGTCGGAAGAGAATCAAGATACTCCTTTACCTTTTCCTCAAATTGCTGTCGAATTCTCTCAACCAAACATGGTAGGGGTGTGTTTTAAAAAAAAAAAAAAATTTATCTTGATAGGGGTGTGTTTTAAAAAATTATTTTTTAAATTTTTTGATAATTTTCTCCATATCTAATTCTTCATCTTAGTATCGTGTAATATACTAGTTGATTTTCAGAAATGAATAAAATGCCCCGAGTGCATGCATTATGTCCAACTAATTTTGTATTAATTTTGGTGACCAGCTAGCTAGCAACTAGTGAAGTTATTGATAAGAATAGAACAATAACATCATGATTACAGATAAATTAAATATAGATAAAGGTAAAGGTGGCCACTTGCCACTCATGGGTCCAAATTACTTTTGGACCATACTAACTCTACGTCAATCACTTAGTTATTAATGTGAAGCATATGAATGGATTTTGCACTTATAATTGAAATGGGATCTGCTTTTTACTGTTAATCAACACTTCTAATCTAACTTATAATTATATTATAGAATGCACAAGTCTAAGTTAAACTTTATTTGGTAAAAAGATCCAGCTTTCCCGGCATCATTGCCGGTTGCCTCCCTCCTTGTCGTCTCATAATGTAAAATTCCATCCCTCCTCGCACAAAACAGTACAGATTGAAATTTAACCCTTAATGGTGAGATTGAGTTCATTTTCTGGAAATGAAAAATGAGGGTTGGCTACTAAATCTTTTCAATTAGCTACTTTTATACCGTCGACTCTAAAAAACGAGGTCTCGAGTGTTCAATCTATTTAAAAATAAATAAGTCATCTGGAATATAGATGATCATCCAAATCTTCTTGTTTCATCCTCAAATGAAAATAAAATCCCATCGTTAAAATTGCATCTCACTTCACTTTCGACTAAATGAACACATTTTAGTAACATAACTTTCAAATGTGAAACATCAACGTAGACAGTTTGTGTCACTAATTCAAAACCACCTATAATTAAGAAGTTAAACGTCCTGGTCCTAATTTTCCTTTAAAATATCAACCAAAGAGGAAGACACTGACACACGTGTTGTGTGTGTTTTTGCTATTAGGTAAAATGATTATTTAGAATAAGATCGATACACATCAGGACATAAAATTACTTTTAGATCCAAAATAACATCAAGTGGAGGAAGAAAAAGCAAAGGAAATTTTAGGCACATAAAATAGGGGACAAAAGTATAAACAATCATGTTGTGTTCCATAATTTTTTCAAAAGCAAACCAACTAATTTAGAATCTCCTTCCACTCTGGTTGAATTATGTGAGGGAATGTCAGTCACTTTTAGACAAAGCTCAGACGAGATAAAAGAGAATTATGATGATACTGTAACGCAGATTTAGGAACAAAATCTTGATGGTGTAGTCAAAGCATTATCCTTTTGCATTATTTGAAATCAAACGGAAAGAAGAAAAAGCAGTTTCAATTATAGAGTGTACTCAATCATGAGGCTCTCCAAAACCATTCCTTCCATTTTGCAAAATCTTGATATGCCATTACATTTTTCAGAAAGGTAACTGGATCCCACCTTTGTCCCTTCATTAATTTCGAATGTCACACATTTTACGCTGTCGGTTTTTCTTGATCATGCAAAATAGGAAATAAAAGAAGTAGCACGTAACAACATGATGCATAATTCATGTGTCATTCCAGGCAGCAAAAGCTGGTAACTGAGCCACTGAGGGTGGAAGAGGCCTCAGTTGAGCGATGCTACTGTTCATCCAGGGATTGATGTGAGTCGAGGCAGACGTAGTGGTGAGCGTAGTGGGCTTTGCAAAGAGGATGGAGGCATCTGTTTTATCTGGACTCGCTTCCCTTGAGCTGCTTAAGCTGGTAACCAAAGACGATGGGTTCGAGAAGTGTTGTGTCCCATTCCCAGGATCGATCTTTTCATCCATAACTGGCTGGCTCATGTTAGCCGCGTCGATTCCAATCAAACCCTGCAGCCCTACCAAGAAAGGATTTCCTGCATGGATTGTTTTCTCATTCATTAATTCCAAAGAATCATTTTGTTGATGTCTGCGGGATTGGTATAGCACCGTTTTCCAATCAGGTATATTCTCCAGTTGAGCATATCCCTCCGGTTTCTGTGCTACTGCATTGTACTCGATGACCTCAGGCTGCGGCTCCCTCTCCTTATTTCGCCTTGCTAACTCTCCAGTAGGCAGCGTATTGCTCGCAATAATTTTCTCAACGTCATATCTTGATATGTCAAAGTTAGTCACAGCATTCACGCCCCGGAACTTGATTGCAGCAATATCATAAGCTTCAGCTGCTTCCTCTTGAGTGCCTGAGGTCGAGAAAATAAATAATAACCAGCCTTATTTAGTACGGTTCTAATCGGGGTGATAAATTTTAATCAAGAACTTGGATAAAAATGACTTGTAGTTCTCTTTATCATTTTGTCTCTAGTAGCAGCCTTGTAAAAAAAAATTCACTCCCACTCGATATCTACCATTAATCAAAATTATGTATGAACAGCATTATTAAAAAGCATGCTATAATTTGCAGACAACTTTAAATAAATGATTCTGTAACACACTGAAACTGTAAGAAAGACTAAAATTCCATTGATGAGAACTTACTGAAAGTTCCAAGATAGAGGTCCTTGTTCCCGGCAACCCGGCCAATCCGAGCCTGCCATCTGCCATGCTGATGATGCCTGTAAATGTTGTTAATTCCGCATTTTAAGGTTATGCAACTTGAAAATCCAAAAAAGGCTCCCCTAATATCAAGAATAATGGAACATTATCTAGTTAAAGGAATATTCAAATGAACCTTGTAACTCCTCTGTACATTGAAGCTCCCCTAGAAAATCCACTACTTTTCCTGCAAAACAAAGCTGTAAATGAGATTCTACCTAAAAAATACTAGGAAACAAAACCCATCAGCCAGATTTCTTAATTCTTTGATAAATAAACCTTCTTAAATGGGCGACGTATTCTTGTCGACTCATGTTCTTCATCCCCTCAAGCTCTTGCTGGTAGTTCTCCAACTGCGCAATAGTAATAACTGTAATTTTGTTGGCTAAAAACATCAAAAGAAAACAAAAAACGACCCAAGGTAAAAACAATATATACCGGGAAATTAATATGTGTAGAGGGACCCCAGTACTTAAGTGCAGCAAGATCATATGCTCTTGCAGCCTTCTCTTCCATATCATAACCACCTAGAATGAGTTTACTATAAGTCTTTTTCTTCATAAACTTAAATAGATTTATGCTCTTCGTAAAAAACAATAATCTTACCCAGATAAACTGATATTTATATGATTTGATGGAAACAGCAGCATATGATCCAGAACACGATAGCACATGTCAAGAAAAACCAACCTAAAGTTAGACCACGAAATGGAGCCAAATATGACAGTCAAAACCCAGAATACATCCAAAAGAATATTATAGAGGGTTTCATTATTCTTGGCTAACCTTGCCTTCCTTTTCTAGTCTGCCCCTCCTTCTTGCAACTATTATCCCACAGGTGAGCTTCATATCGACCAGTCCACCTATGTCTGAAAAACCAGTAGAAAAATATCCCATCAAACCAAGGAAGAAGCAGGCCAAAACACCATGAAAATTTGTAAACAACCAACCAACCAAAAATTGTTGAAAAAATGGGCTGTGAACAAAACCACTTAAGATCTAGCAAGAAAACTTTGCAAGTAATGATACACTGGAAACTAGAGAGAGTAGACTTACCTAGTTACACCTCTATACTGGGATGTTCTTTGACCAAATGTGTCAATAGATTTCCTATGAACAGTTTGCTTTTGTGCAACTTTTTCAGATCCTCTCTTCTTGGTTCCCAAGGCTATACAGTGAGTTTCAGTGGGTGAGATTTGCCTTGAAGCAGTGACACAACTAGACTGAGAATTAGGACTCATGGACAAGCTCAAAGACTGCAAATCCCCACAGCCCATTGCATCACCACCACAAATATTATGGCCATCAACCATACAACCATTTACCTGATGTTCTAAGGGATGATGATCCACCCATGTTTTCAGACATGGAATTTCATTTTCACTTGTTGGAGGAAGCTTACAGTCGACGAGTTGAGTTTCCTTAGGTTGTTCCTCATCTATTCTCTGATACATGCCATTGCACTGTAGCCCAGAATAATACTGATGGTGTTGCTGCTGCCTGAAGGGGACTTGGCTGTAGAACATGCTGTCTAAGCTTAGAACCATTGCTGCTCTCTCATGGCTCCCATAGTCATGACTTGCCATTGTTGTACCACCCAAGAAATCTTCCAGTTTAGGAGAGGAATTTGGTACCATAGCTAAATGAAAGGAGACCAAATGAGAGTGGGATTAAACCATTGAACCGTAAGTTAACAAAATGACAAAAAATGGAAAACATAATGGAAAGCAGTAAGAACCTAACCTTGTGCGTGGGATCTAGAGAAATCTTCCATAATGCAAAGGGAGCCATCAGATTTAAGAGGCATTACGGACAAAGGAGAGTGAAAGCCACTCATTTCACCTACTCCATAACAGATGGCTGAAGTATTCAGGTGAGGAGGTGAAAGATAGAAATTGCTTTCTGGAACTGCGGAGGTAGTAGGAGGGGCTTCAGTTTGATGATTGAACTGATTATGATGATGATGGTGAGGATCTGAAGCAGAAGAACCCTCCATTTTCATGGGTGACAGAGAAAAACCCAACCAGTTACTATTGCTATTGCTGCCATTGCTATTATCATTCATGGACTTCATCTCCTACGGCCTCTCTCTCTCTCTCTCTCTCTCTCTATCTGTCTATTTTTTCTTTATTGTTGCCTGTTTCTTAATGCAAATCAATCATTGGGAGCAAATAAAGTAATCATTTCTCTATTTTGATTCTTCATCTGAAAACACTTAAATTTTCTTTTGTAGGTTTGTTGCAGAATCTCATGAGAACAAGAAAAACATTTGGCTAACAAGAAAACTCCTCTCTCCCCTCGAGAGAACAAAACAGCTCTCTTTAAATTAACAAATAGAACGCAATTTTTGGAGGCAAATGCTCGGAAGTGAGTAGCATTCTATCGGGATCTATGTACGTCTATATCTTTGGAGTACCTAGGAGAGAGGAGCCCTTTGCTAAATCCTTCTTAGTGTATAATTTCCTTGCCCAACTCTTAAAAACCCTACCCTAAACCCAGAGCATGGTACCATAAACATCAGATGAAGCCAGAACCCCAAATGCACTTGTATATATATATATATAATATGGTAGGTATTATCTGAAGTAACCAAGAAAGTTCATTAGTCCCTAGTCATTTAAGAATAGTGCAAAATATATTGTTTTTGACTTTTGATTTCTTTCCTGTTGTCTCTTTCTTTCTTTTTCTTTGTGGGTTTTTGTTAAGCTTACTGTATAAAAAAAAACCCAAAATAAGTTACTTATTAGTTCTATTAAGAAATAGTGCAAAATATATTGTTTTGACTTTTGATTTCTTTCCTGTTGTCTCTTTCTTTCTTTTTCTTTGTGGGTTTTTGTTAAGCTTACTGTATAAAAAAAAAAAACCGAAAATAAGTTACTTATTAGTACTACGAGATATTCTTAATTAAGTTGCTTATAAACACCTTGCAAATTTTGCCAAACATATTGCAATTATTTTGGCTCTTTCTTTTTCTTTTTTGGGTTTTGGCTAAGCTTACTGTCAAAATACACCCAAATAAGTTATAAGTACAAAATACCTGATATTTCTTTAAGTCCTTGTTTGGGCTCTATTTTTTCAAGAAAATATATTTTGAAATAGTAAAAAGTTAAAAAATTGTAGTTAAAAAATAAAAATTAATTAATTGACGTATAAAAGAATGTTTGAATAAAATTGAATGATAAAAAAAAATGATTTTTTGTAAAAAAGAACCGAACATTGGGCCAATTAAGCTTCTCATAAGTTTTGACAAAGTATGTTACAATTATTTTGTGAATCTAGTGGAGATGTAAAGAACCAATGGGAGAAGAGGGTGGTCAGAGATAATAACCAAAACAAGATTGCTTTTAATTTACAGTAACAGAGGCTTGGATAGATTTGACGGGCAGAGACATCTGCCCATCCAGTCACTTCATGCAGGACAGCTTTTCTGTAACATATATCCAGCTGCAATAAAGTTTTGCACTTCGAAATTATTTACCATTTCTTTTTCTATACCAGATAAGTTACAATTTTCAATTTTGGGGTTGTCTGAGCTCTTTTTTTTTTTTTTAAATAATTTTATAATAATGTTACGATGAAAAATGTGTGTGAAATATTATTTTATTGAAAAATGTGATCAAATTAATGTAAAAAAAATACATTTTGATGGAAAAATGAATCTCAAACAAGGGCTTAGATCCAATTCTTTGCATGGATTTTATTTTATACATGACTTTCTACCATTGAGCTAATAGACTATCATGTGAGCCTCTCACGGGCGGCGGGGGTTTCCTTTTTTTTTTTTAAGAGGGAAGTTCTCAAAAACTAAAGTTATTTATTTCAAGATAAAAAATTTACTTAAGGTATTTTTAGGAAAATTTTATCACGATCTATATGACTACGTTGTGTTGGTACTTTCTCTTGTCAATTTTCCCAGTTCAAGGTATGTTTTGTCTTGCCCGTCTTTGGTACATGGAGCTACTGTTTTGTGTATAGAAGCATAAAATGTGAACAATTAACGAGGTGGAGTAATGTGACGAACTAAGATGCGGAGCACATTTTGGACACCAGTATTTAATATCAGAACCTTGCTACACTTACACATCTTGACACACAATCTCCCCCATTGTGGACACCACACACATGTGAGAGGGTTGTGTAGGAGATTGTGTACCAAATATGTCCATTGTGGACCCCACACACATGTGAGAGGGTTGTGTAGGAGATTGTGTACCAAATGTGTACAAGTAACATTTTTATTAATATCATGTTAAAGTTAAACCATCTTTCATCCTTCCGAATCCAACCATTGCTTCCATTATTACTCCCACTTTCTCTCTTCCTATTGTCTCCTTAAATATAAAATTTCTATCTTACTTGAATTTAATTTTCAATCTCTGTCTCACGGAAAAGTTAAAACGTATATTATGTAAAAAAATATGTGACTCTTTTCTCCAAAACTTATTTGCTTTTGTAGGGCGAATGGTATTGTAGTCAACACCTGCTTAGACAAAAAGTGGAAGTGGGTCTCTAAGTGCTCCTAATATTCCAGAAATGATGAGAAAATGGCCCTCTAAAATAGCAATGCATTCGGTGATGCATGTACTTTTATTCAACTCCTTTACAATAATTTACAATAAATCAACTAAATGATCAAACGACCCCTTTATATAAATTATTACATTAAAACAATTACAATAATTTACAATAAATCAACTAAATGATCAAACGACCGCTTTATATAAATTATTACATTAAAACAATTATATAGCACTGTATAAAAAATAATGGGTTTTGAATTGCCGTTGCTGAGGATGATGCTCTAAGTGCTATCCAATGTTTGAACTTGGATTTTAGTTGTTTGCCTGAGATTTCGACAAAAGTTTAGTGGATTTCGGCAAAAGTTGACAAATGTGCGTGTGATTAAAAAATGATAAATATTAAGAATTTCATTAAATATGTCGTTATAATTGAAGTTTAACCAATTGAAAAATTGATAAAATTACTAATGAATTGGTTTGGATACCCCCTATTAGTTTAGCCTCCGTTTGAGAATAATTTTTAAACGTTTTAATTTATAAATAAATAGAAATGATGAATGATGGAGAAACGGATAATACTTCTGGATTCATTGAAATGTATACTTCAAAATACAATTTGATCAGTTATAAATGATTTATAAATTTTGATGAACTGAGGCTTAATATTTACTCTAATAAAAACTTACTAAAGATATAAAAAAAAAGTAAATAAAATAAAAACATGACTTGTTTTCTTTATTCGAAACTGAAATGTTTCATGAATCATGAATCAAAGAATATATGAGACGCAGCAAATGTTTGATGATATACAAGTAATTACGATGGGTCCTTTATTCGTGCGGGTATTGCATGCAGAAGTGGATTATTGGAGACAGATTTTCAAATGAAAATGATTTGGTTTGAATCTATAATAGTAAGAAAGGCTTCAATTTTGTGGGGAAGGAAATACTCTTTTGATTATATAGTAATGATGATTGGATCCACCAAGCACTCCCGCAAAGATAATGCCTTTCCCTTTCAGATTAAAATCATGTCAATAATACGATTTGGCTCCAATTTCTCAATTAAGGTTTCGCTTTCCTTTAAATAAAAGAATTACAGCTTCTAAGTATGGTAATTTACAAAAAAAAAAAAAAGAAAAAAAAAATTCTTCCATACTAAGCATGATATAATATGTACAATCAAATTTCTTAAATTAAGAAATGTAATCAAATTCTCTTATTTAAGGAAGTAAACACAAATCGCCTATAATCTGACAACCAATTGACATAAAAGTAATCCACTTTTAACTATGATATTCAGCAACGGATATGTTGGTAACGGTAATATCTCTTTACCAACAGATATTCTGTACCACATGTAGTCGTTTAACATTCGGATGTTTCACCAACGGATATTTCCGTATGTGACGTACCGATAATCACCAATGGACTACATGGAAGATTCAGAGACACGGGCAGCTTTTTACTTTTCAAAGAGATAGGGGCACCACCAAGAAATATACACATCCCGGTGATAGAACGGTGAGTATCAACACCACCACCCCAATCAACATCCAAAAATCCCACCAACTGTAATGAAGTCCTAGAAGAAAAGAAAAAACCACGGCCAGAGGTACTTTTGAGGTATCGAAGAAGACAACGGATAGCAGCCAATAGGTTTGGCAAAGAGCTTGCATAAACTGACTGATTTGTTGGAAAACAAAGGAAAGATCAAGTTTGGTAATGGTCAAATAATTCAAAACTACTTACCAACTGTCGATACATCTAGGGATCAGATAAGGAGTCGCCACCCTTTTAGCGTAACTTTAAATTGACCTCCATACATGTAAGAACCAAATTAGTGTCTTGAAGATTGACTAATGAAAGTAACTCTTGTGTATACTTATTATGATGCAAGAGTGTGCAAGATGAAGAATGTTGGACCCCAAGTCCAAGAAAATACTATAAGGAACCAAGATTTTTCATATGAAAAGAAGATATGAGTCTCTGTTAGAATTGCTTGATCAGCTGAGGATTAGAATTTATAGTCGCAATATCATGTACATATACAAGAATTATAACCATCTAAGTGGAAGTTGTACAAAAGAAGAGAGAAGCGTCATACTTACTCTGAGTAAAAGTAAAATCCAGAAGAGTAGAGTGAAATTTTTTAACCAAGCCCACGATGCTTGTTTTAAACCATATAAGGACCGTTTTAAACGACAAACCTCAGTAGAAAGAGAAGAAAACATGCCGGCGGAAGAGTCATGTAACGGCCTGGATCCCACTTAACGGACTATCCCGACCATTAGATGGACGACGTCATGTCCCTACTGTACCAACATGGGTCTTTTCAGCATACTTTATCCTCACTCGTACGCTCCCCAAGAAAACATTCCAGAGGTCACCCATCATAGAATTGCTCCAAGCCAAGCACGCTTAACTGTAGAGTTTCTAACGATGAACTTCCGAAAAAGAAGGTGCACCTGTTGGTATGAGTAGTACCTATCAAATCTTTTTAACCTTTCCTGGTCTGGGTATTACAATCACCCCCCCGTTAGACT